ACGTAACTATAATATTAAGAATCACGAAGAAGTATTTGCATGTATAATTTTATCAATAATTGTATCTTATAAAATTTACTAATTGTTGTCGTTTTTGTAGGTAGTTTGTAAATTAAAATGGTTGTTAAAAACCTCTTTACGACTACATTTCGTCAATTATTTATGAGTCAATTCATTTTAAGGAGAGCTATTTAAAGGATGAGTTAAATAGCTAATAAATCATTTTATAACGTAATTAATAAAATTAATAAAACAATCTCCTCTTTTTTCAAAAAGAAAAAACGGAAAAAAGACAACTCAAAAATGCCGCAAAGAACGAAAAACTAAAGGTAATGCTTGGATATTCAATTTGAATTTCCATTAAGAAAGCTCGGCAGCGACCTCGACGGCAACGAACAATGACCTTATTCGAACTCCACGTGAAACTTGGTCTTACAGTTCGTCTTTGAAAGAGGCGGCGGAAGTAACTCGAGCGTGAAAAAAAGTTGTTTCGCACGCTTAGTCATCGTAGGCAATCAATTAAAATTCTTCTCTCCGCCCGAGATTCCTCAAGCCCAGCGTTGCTACTGCAGCAGCGCGCAAATTAATGACGCGAGTCTTCTTGATAAATATCACGACGTTTCGCTATGGGGATGGGCTAAGCCTCAAAGCCGCGCAGAGATAACGTTAGGAGCGCGAGTCGTACATTGTTCCGGGAGTTTAAACAGATTACGGACGAGCCCGCGACAGCGCCGTTACAGTTTGAACGTAAATCGCCGTGCGCTTGCCAACATGCTGCTCCTCGTCGCCGCTATCGTTGCACGTTTCTGCTACATTTATGTTTTGCTTATTTTTGTTCATTCATTCAACCGTTCATTTCTTAATTGCTTGAAAATAGACTTTAGAGACTAACTCTGGCAGCATTTCTAAGCAAAGAGCGTTAATGTGGTTATCGTACACTGTGCCCTGCGCACGGACTTTCTCTAGTTTTTACGTATGCATATATGTTTTTATTGAGTTGACGACCAATTGACGAGCTTTTCAGAGATACAACGCCGGAACTACGCCGCTATCACATCGACATGGATCAAATTTATATGGAAATTGCCAACGTTGCATATATTTTTTTTTTCTAAGCAATCATCTCTGACGACGAAATGAAAGCTTGCAAACATTCTTTCGAACATATTTACGATATTCGTACAAAATAAAGCCTCAATACGTATTTCCCATGGAATATTCCGTGTGGCGCGCAGTTTACGTACCTTCGCACAACATTGATACATATCAGGCAAGTGCTCGGGCAAGTAATAGTATAAGCTTCCGCTTGATATAAGCACTAGACACTGACAATAGTAACAAAGCAAGCTCTCGCATCCTCTCGTCTTCATCTGCTTAATAAGCCATCCGTCAAGTCAACGTAGTTCGCAAAGCATTTGCCCACAACCCCAGACAGCTGCTCTACACAGCGTCGCGTAAAGTAACCGTTGTGCGCGCATCTGTCAATCGACTATCTATTGTAATAAAAAAAGGAAAAAATACACGCTACCGGATGAAAGTGTTGGACGCGAAAGGCACGCGCCGCAAATTACACAGTGTACATACAATAGCTTATACGTCGATAAGATTAGCATCGATTTATCACATGCTACAGCAGCGGCTGATCTCGAATTACGGTTACATCGGCGCTTAATAAAATGCGGCAGCTGCGTGCGTATGTACGTGTGTGCGCGCGCGCAAGCTCGACAATTAGTGACACAGGCGTCTCGTCACGTCGACTAACGTCGTGTGTGAGTGTGTATGTGATCGATTAATTTGTTGCGAGAATAGGTTATCACGCGTGGGCTATTTCTCGATTTTGTTGTGGCTAAGTGGCCTTTAAATAAATTTCGATTGGCTGCTTAATGTTTGATTGCACCGCTCTGTGATAATGGTGGTGGTTTGGATTTGAATGAATAAGTTCGGGATATAAACTTATTGACTTTCGTAAATGCGATGCAGTGACGACGCTTTAGATTTTAATTCAGCTGATTAGGCAAATTCTCGTTAGTCTTGTCTGGAATGATGATAATTTTTAAAATATTGACGCAGATTCCATACTAAAGCTTGTTGTTCTTGATATTCTTCTTGTTGTTCTTTTCTTGTTATTCTCCTGGGAAATCGTTAATATTGTGTTTTGAATTGTCGACAAAAATAGCCGTGCCTTTGTCATTCCAACATTCGATATTTCATTTTATTTGAATATCGAAATATCTGTGATTCTTCAATCAAACATGTGGAACTGTAATAAAGTTCCATTAATTTCAATCCCTGTACGAGGAAATTGCGTGAAAATTAAAAACAGAAAAATCCCGTGAATAGCAGCAAAGCAATATGATTGAAATTGCTACAAACTTTTCATTCGTTCGATTCAATATTCGCGCCGACATCCAATCAAACAACAAGCACATGGAATCTCATCGCTATCTGAATAACAAGTTTAATCCATGCCAGCAAAGTTTTACAATCTCCAATAATTTTTCAATCGAAGATTCAACGCTAACATTCCATTGAAAAAACAAATATCGAAATCCTTATCTACATACGCCAAAAAGATGAAGCAATAAGAAGAGAAATAAAAGATGAATGAAAGAAAACAATAGATATTTGAAGGAGCACACGCAAGAAAGAAAGGAAGGAGAAGGAAAGAAAGAGAGCCTGGAGCGAACAAAGCCACGCGGTAAAACCGTCGAGTATGCGCCACGTCGCTCAGACTAGCAACAGCATAGACACACACATGGATTGGTAGATGTGCGCGCAGGCGGAATAAGTCACTGCGGAGGATCGGAAGCTCGGGAAACTAGCCGGAGGCAGTGGGCTCGTTACTTTTCTGTTTACCTTGGCCGCTTTGTCGATAACGAGATGAAGTCAAGAGGATGGCTGTGCCATAGCCAAGAAGGACTATACTATAGCACAAAGCTCAGACTGACAGATATACATACGTGTACACACACGCGCGTGCACGTGCGAGAGAGATTTTTCAGCTTTCCAAGCCGATAACTAAGAATATACATTTATACCCTTTCTTTTGCTTCATTTTTGCTCTATCTTTTGTTAGACTTTGTGGCATTCGCCAGCTTGACTTATGTGTGAAAAGCTTTGGATGATGTATTCAATGAGATTGCATTCCTCTCTTGGCTTGTTTTTTTTTCAATCTTTGCTGACCTATTTACGCGTGCGCGCCACTTAATCTTTGATGCGTTTACGCTTTCAGATTGTTTTAAACCTTTGCTTTGTTATATGTTTTTATTAACTTCAGTGATGCTGGTGGTATAAAATCTTTTACATTCGATGCTATTACATAGACTTTTAACCGAAATCAGATTTTTTATATGTAAAACAAAGAAATTTAAAAGAGAATATAGTTATAGTTGAAAGAAAATATTATTTTTAGGCAGAGAAACAGAGTTTTTATACTACAGCAAAAATAATCGAAATTGTAATATGTGCGTGCGTGCGTGTGTGTGTGTGTGTGTGTGTGTGTGTGTGTGTGTGTGTGTGTGTGTGTGTGTGTATCTGTTCGACTATCATTTCAACAATAAAGTGAAATTACATGCGTAAGACATTTTACAGTTATTGTCTTTAGCTACAGTGGCCTCGAGGTTAGTATCAAGAAAGATGTTCACTCAAAGTAAGGGCATTATAACTATATAATTATAAGAAACCATTTAAAAAATCGAAGCATCCCACCGCAGAACATAACACTAGAGCACAAACTTTCAAAATTTCAGTTTAAAAAAAAGATTCTCATCTCTAACAATGAAAAAAGAAAGAAATACAACCATTTAACTGTCAGAGGCAACTCGAATTGCCAAGATACTTGTTTCCACAGTAGAACATTCTTCGTAAGAAAAAATCGAAAGAAAACGAAGAATTTACGTGATGTATAGAATTATCAGGGATTAGGTTAACATATACGCGCGCACTGGTCTGCTGAGTAAGTGCCTGATGTGGCAAGATGAGCGATGCTCGCCCCACGCTATCTTGCGCATCGTGATGGATCGCGCCAATATGCGTTCGCGGTCGTGCATCAAATTCTCAGCTGAGCCAGCTTATACCAACGGGATAATTCAGTGTCGAGTCCTACTTGCTCTTTCTCTCTCTCTCTCTCTCTCTCTCTCTCTCTCTCTCTCTCTCTCTCTCTATCGCTAAATATTTCGCACATACCTCTGAACATACAATGATTCGGTGCAATTATATCGATTTAAATCCGCGAATACATGCAAATTGCACATTTCTTCCTTTTAATATCCTTTCTTACAGTCACGTCAATTCTATAGTTTTATTTAAAAGTGATTCCGAGTATGGTTAATCTTTGATATTAAAAACACGGAAAAGTTTTTTGTTATGAGATGCGCAGAGAGTAGAAGTGCTGATTAATTGTATATAACACTTGAAAGATCGGTCTGTATTGGTTATTTGCTAAATATTTTTGAAATAAGCTAACTGTCAAATACACGCACGAAAATATTCGTAATTTCAATCGCAGAAATATTTATCATACTCAAAACATTTGAAATAGGAAAGATCGTGGATAGTATTTACATATTAACGACATTTAATTATTCGTAATCTATCACAGTAAATTCCAATATTATCGGCAGTAACAAGAATGATTATTGAATTTTGAATAAAATATTGTGAATGCCAAACAGTTCGCTTCCTCGCTAACACTTGGATGCAATTTTACTATTTGCTGAATTCCATTTTTTCGCACTTTTCTGAATTGACTATCGACACTACACTGCCACTGCAGTGCACTTTTCGCAATTGTCTCGAAAGAATTCAAAGTATGTGAGAGAAATGTCTGTCAGCCAATCTACTCATACTACTGAATTTTTCAACAGCCTTCCACTGCTAGAAAGTTCGACAATCTATGAGCTAGTCCGCCCATATTCGTTGTCCATTCATTGATCAGATGATCTATCGTCGAAACGGTCGTTCATTGAGAGAAGACGCCAAAAAAATGAGATGGTACTAACCGAAATGTGAGTGTAGTAAGCGGTCGGTAGCTCTTATGGCTACTTGGATCATTCATGGGGGTGCCCCAGAAGTCATCCTTCAACAGTGAGCTCCAAGGATTCTGCGCGAGCACATCTTTATTCCTCACAATAGCGGGTATATCGTCGTGAACAAAATCCCCGCCCAAGGCGTTAAGATAAGCGCCAAGCGCGACAAGTCCAACCGCTGGGTAGACACACCAATTTGGCGGTGGATTATTATGATGATGATGTTCGTCGGTCGAGCAAGCCTTGGTAGGCCGCTGTTGCAGAAAATTACAGCAACGTTGTCGCTTCATGGCGATGACGATGACGATGGTGATGACGATAATGACGAAAATGGCACGTGCCACATGCCGAACGCGCACACCCGCATCGCATTGATCCAGCACTCGCACCGAGGGCGTCGCGCCAGTTACTGAGCTTCAGCAGCGAGGCGCCTCCAGTTCTATATGTACCGCGCCGCGCCCGCGCAACACTCCTATACCGTCATCCCTACCATCACCACTGCTGCTAGCGCTGCAGCTGCTCTGCTTCTGCTTTGTGTTGCAATTGTAGAAGAACGTTTGACCGCGTACACTCGCGGTGTGTGTTGCGGTGCTTTGACGCGCTTGGACGGCAATTCTTTCCATCAACCAACCCCCTCTCCCCTCGCTTTTTTAAACCGTTATTTTTCATTCGGTGTCTTCCACGAGTTGTACTATTTTGATCATTCGCGCGTTTTTTCGCCGAGTGCTTCTTGTGCATATGATTATAAGTGGCGATGCGGTGATCATGAAGATTTGTTTTATTGGAAAACTGAGAGAGTTGTACTGCGACAACTAGGCTCGAAAGTTTAACATTAATCTTTCTTAATTGTATAAATGATAAAAACAAGTACTTACAAAGAAAGGTGTTTTTTCCAAACAATTAAGTATAAAATCAGTAGTATAGTCAACGTTTGATCAGCTGACGACTATAAGTAAACACAATAGCCAATTCCAAAACAGTTAGGCATAAACTGCTTTGCAACCGGTTGGCAATAAATATTAAGCATTTATCATTATTTCTATAAACATCGACAGTACAAATTGAATTGATGAGCCAAATACGTACTATACACGTTTATTAATATTTGCAAAGATTGAACAGCCGATTTATTTAGGCTTATGAAAATAAGCACAAGCAACTGAAACAGGAAAAAAGACGTAGAGAGAAAATTGTGATCTCCGTATAGGAATGAACGGTCGTTACGGAAACCAAAATATTCAGAGAGACTGGTAACAACAACAACCAACCAACCAACCAACCGACGTCCGAGTGAAGCCATGCGAATAGCGTAGCCTCGAGACGCGGCGTTTACCAATTCCCAGCGAAGCAATTTGCCACAACGGAGGCGTGAAAGCCTCCGATTATAATCGATACAGACAAAGCGGTCGGCCCGAACTCTGACATCGCGTGGGTACGTAGATAGGCGTTTGTATGTTTGATGTGTGTATGTGTGAATGTATGTATGTATGTATGTATGTATGTATGTATATATGTATGTAGGTATGTGGAAGACTCGTGGATTTTTAATTTGTACCGATGGATTTCCAACTTTTGGCCTTAGCGGCACAATATTCGACGCATACGTTCAATCGAACGTGTAGCCTGCTTTGGTCGATGTGCAACGTTCCACCCGCTTGCTCGCGCGTCCAAAGCACCAGCTCATCCGTCCATGAAATCTCGAAAGCACGAGCAGATCGCGTAATTGCTGAGCTTGTGCAAATGTTGTTATCGTCTGCATGTAACGCGTTCACTCTTCTCATTATTTTTTCCATTCTCATTCACGGTATACGGATCCTTTCTGGTGATTGAATCGAGTCATTCGCTTATTTGTAGCCACTCACTCTCAGCCAATTCGATTGATTGGATACCATTCTCAAAGCTTTAAAAATAAGACACTATGCTACCTAAGAAGAGTGTGCTCTGGAATTCGAGATTATGACGATCGCTAATGGCTAAATAAAACACTTTTTTTGTTATACAACGAAGATTTTCATCTCGAATTGAATGCTAATAATCGAGAATATCTCATATTTCTTTTAGAAAATGCGGATAATGCGATAAGAGAAAACTCAGATTCTCTTTGCAACTTTTTAGTCAAGAAAAATGGTAGCTATATAATTACATCCCTTATTTATTAGAATCAATCACTGATAAAATATTCCAGTAGTTATTGATCGCAATAGGATTATCAATCTCTTTTGTTGTAACAACTCCTATATTTTACGTTAGCCATCATAACACTTTTAAAATCATCATGAAATCAAAAGGAATACGTAAAGAAGAATTCGATTCAGACGAAAAATTATTAATCCATGAATGTTCCATTAGTAAAATTCATTCTGGAATTTCTATGTAACAGATTAAGCATGAATCAAAAACCAACGAAACTAAATTATTAGTTCAGTTTTATGCGGGGAGGAGACATCAAAGTGCTAAAAGCTTAGCTTGCACTACGAGTATTGTTTTTCGCTAACTTTCTCAGAACGCCCTCAAATCTCCGTTTCAATCGCTCACTCATAGAGCATAGCCCACTGTTGATTCTTCAGTTTGCCGAGTGAACATTCGCAAAAGGCGCGGCATCAGTTTGATGCAATATAGAGTTTGGCTGCGCGATCATTTAAAAAGGTTATTTGCCAAGTCGTGATGGAATTAAGTCGCAAAAAAAAGGTACAGTTGTCGATCGTTAATAAGAAGCCAACAGAGGTAGAAAGCTGCAAGGAAAAAAAAACTTTTCCAATTTCGCTCTCTCTCCTGGAGGCCGTATATTTATGTGCAGCTCTTCCTTTTTTTCTTTGCTCTTTCTTGTTTCTCTTGTCCATAAGCCCGGCGAGCAACGCGCAAGTGGATGTAAGTTAACGCGACTCAGTAAATTTTGTTCGTGGAGACGCCTAGTTAGTAAACTTGCTGTCGCGCGCGCGCTCAACTTCGGATTTACGATTTTTTCACGCGACAAGTCGGAGTCAAGTTATGCCAGCATAAAGAGAGGAAAGGGAGGAAAGGCAGCAGTAGAGGGAGAGAGAGAGAGAGAGTGAGAGAGAGAGAGACTGAGAGAGGAGGGGGGTGCTGTGTAGTAATGAAATCGCTCGCTCAGAAAACGATTCTCGCTTTCGCCTTGGCAAATTTACGAGCGCGCGAATAACTGCGATAAAGAGTTTTCTTTTGGCTTCTTTCAGAATGTTTTGTTCGTTTTCTCCTCTCAAGCCTGCTTTGAGTTGAAGACATTGCCGTGCAAATTTTCTGTTTAAAGAGATTCGCTCGCCAAAAAGTTTACCGTGCTTACAAATAATAGCCGTTTGTTCGCCAGAATGAATGCAGATTTTATGCGCTGAAAGTTTTGTTACCAATTCCAAAACAGTTCTTCGACTTATTTATATTATTTATGAGCGATAAATACAATTTTTCGTTAAGGGATTTGCCTGTTGAATGAAAAATTCCCTTGTCATAACAAGATTCTCCTTTTTTCAATAATTCAATGGACAATGCAACGAATGATTAATGGCAAAAACCAAAGAACTTTTAATTTAAAAATTTTAATGCAATATACCGGGACATAGCGGTGAACAGCCGTATTGTCGTTTCATCATAGACGAAAAGTGCTGTGGGCCACTTAATAGCGAATAATTACGATGCCTTAGCTGGCAGTCGAGGGGAAAATGATGTCTAAGTAGACCACAGCCGTGGCAGCTTGAAAATTGAATACAAAAGCGCGTAGAGCGTGCTGCGCGACGACGACGACGCTTACAGGGGCTAAAATCTTGGCGTGGTAAAGGCGAGGAAGGTAGCAGGAAATTGAAGGTGGCGCGCGCGAGCACGAATCGAAAGAGGAATTATCTGCGTGCGCTAGCATCTGATAAAGCGGTAAGTGCGGCGTTAAGGCGGAACATAACCGGCGGCTGCTTGACAGCCTTAGAGATAACATTCACGAGCGCGCGGCGAGCCGCCCTTACGGTTTTATCGTTAAAAGCGTCGGGGGAAATTTCGCACTTTGCGCACGCGCGCCAGCCCTCATTCTTGTCTTCCTCTTTTCGTTACGCCGACAAAGAAAATAGCAATATGCATCTCTTTGCTCGCTTCTTGCCACAGATAACAAGTATCCATAGATGCTCGCTTTCAATTGACATGCGGAGGCCACTTAGCGCAAAAATGCTCACGATACCGTATCTCGATATTCCTCTTGGCTTATCGCCGTTGCAAGTAGTCTGCGTAAATATACGGTACATGGTTCGATATTCGAGGAATGCTGCTCTCTGAGAAAGCGAGTGAACCAAGTTCTGCCTTGAATATTTTTGTCGAGGAATTTTTAAAGAGGATGTTGCCGTGGAATTGGTTTGAGCTTGCTGATTCTCTTTTTTTCTCTCACAGTTACGAGCAAGTCTTGCGGTTCGATGCAAAAGTATGCCGAGAGCATTGAATATTTTTCATTTGTGAATGCTGAGTAACTTGCCGCTATTGGATCAAAGAATGCTAGTAAAATTTTCTTATTTACTAGATTGATTTTATCAATTATAGACAGCAAATTTTTGTCTAGTTTAAAAACATCTAAGCTTTTTAAAATCTTTCGATGCGTAATGAAAATATCTGAGTCTCATGCAAAACCTAGAGCTGATATGAATTGCTGCAAGCTATTTGGGTATCGGCAGTTCCTTTCTCATGTATTAATTTTGAACTACGAAACTTTCTGAGCTTTTCGATTTTTGAAGCTGTCGGTACAACTCTAGGTATCGAACTTACTCAAGTAAAAAGTTATATACGAGTCAACAATCTATACTTTAAATTGAATAATATTTACATCTAAATTTGAAAGCTAGCCTATAGGTAAATAATTAAAACTTCACACACACATTGTTTGGATAACGTTTCGTTGGATTGTTTATTATTCCAGAGTAAAAGGATACAAAAATACAGATCTATGGGTGTGTGTGAATGTATGTGTATGTGTGTGTGTATGCATAAATCGAGTTGACATTATAAGTAGTAAATACATGAAAATGCCTGTAAAAAGGTATTTTCGAAGATATTAAATTATCATAATTATAAAGAGCACTTCTTTCTTGTTCTTTTTATTTTAATGACTTTATATAATAACAATTGTCCAAGCAGAATAACTCAGTCAAACTGAAAATCAATAGAGTAAACAGATAAACAGATGAAGGCTTTCAATTCTCTTTCTCTCTCATCAAACAACAAAACTAAATATCTCAAATCACAAGGACTTTACACAATACAATTAAGCCGAGAATATAAAAATGTCTCGATCAAGAAAAATACAAGTCAATAGTTGTAATATAAAGATCATTATCAAATCAAATTATTGCTAAAAGTTACAAACTAATATTCTTTTCGACATAAAACACAATTGAGACTCTTGTATT